AAACATCAGAAACAGACTGGTAGCACATTAACAAATTGGATTACATCACATTTTTTTCCTGCACCTTAATTCATCAGATGTTATTATATAGATGCAGATTACAGTACGGGTCTGATGAAATGAGCTGCAGTTCATGAAAGCTTGTGTCTTTAGCCCTAATTATTATGTTGGGGTGAGGGGAGGCAGTGGCTGCTGGGTCCGAGGACGAGAGCAGTGGCTGAACACAGATGCACAGATTGGCGTACTGTAAGCCTCTACCTTCATTTCGCGGGGCAGGGAGGAATGGTTCCGCCCTGAGATATTTCGATGAAAACTGAGTCGCAAATAGAACTGAATAAGGAAATACAAACACAAATACGGAGTGCCGCCGGTTTCCCCGTCCACGAGCACAAGAACTATAGCTTTCAAAATCGGATAGATTAGAAGAGGGTCTACCTCCTCTCAACGCTTACCACGGGTGTCAAACTTGTCGCGACACGTCCCGTATCGCGACTTTTTTTTTTGCATTGCCGGAGCTGGGGTGGGCGCGGCCTCCGTATGATGTAACCGGTCTGCGGGCCGGCAGTTTGACATCCCAATCAATGAGTTTCCTGTACCATCCAAAGTCTCCTAAATCGGCTTTTGCTCCGGAACGGACGTGGCTAAAACAACATCCAGCTCCAACCCCAGCCAGAAGACGGTCCGGCAAGGAAGCAAGGAAAGAGCGTGCTGTTTGGTTCTCCCCAACTCTTGGATTGACCCCCCAACTGATCGGAGTTTATAGAGGACCGTGAGTGAAGGGGCTGGCTTGGGTGGCCGATCGCTTCCCCGCCCAGCTCGGAGGCGGCCGAACGGGGCAGAACAACGCGCTGTAAAATTTCTGCCACCGGCAGTGATGGCGTTATTGTGGCCTGGCTTTTCCGCGTCCGGTGCCGGGGAGGGAAAGCTCCCCTAGCCCCACCGAAGCCGCGGAGTGGAGTGGGTTGCGCGTGCTCTCTGCTCGAGACGCAGAGATGGTGGGGCGCTGCACTGGGGCGGGGATGGGAGGATTTAGGCAGGGAGGGTGACGCGTGAAAAGGAGCCTCTTGCATGCCTTTCTGGCACCCCGGGAGGCGAGCACCCCGCCATCTCAGGTAGTTTCCTCCTCCTGCTGCTGCTCGTCTGAATCCACGCGAAGAGCACAGGTAGGCCGCTGCTCAGATTCTTTAGGAGGCCGTGTGGCTCTTCAGACGCCGATCTTCTCCCGCAGTCAGGCCCCGCTCCCTGCTGCTTATTCGTCTCCTGCGGTGGAGCACCACTACTGCGTGGATCGTTTTTTGCTCGGACCTAGCCACGACGCAGATCCCTGCCAGCTTTGGCCCAAGGGAGGGGATGAGAATGGGTCTGCGGTCCTTTCCTCTGGTGCCAAAATGTGGTGGCCCTGCGCCTAGGTTGTAGTCTTAGTTAAGGGATTAATGAACATATAGTTTGCCCACGCCAAGTTGTTAAAAGTTGACTTATGGGACTCTGTGGTTGTGCGCTGGCTAGAGACTGAGATAGGTAGAAATAGACTATTCAGAACTTCACTCTCAGCCATGCTAAGTGGCCTTCAGCTGTTTACTATCCATTGGCCTTTCTTTCTTTACATGGTTACTGGGGGTAAAGACAGCCTTGAGCTGCTTAGGGGTAAAAGGAGAGGGGAGATAAATATAAATATCAAAAACGAGGGCATAAAATTAGGCCATAATACTAGCCCTTCCCAATTTGGTGGCCTCAGACCTGTTGGGCCTCAAGGCCTATAATCTCTAGCCAGCAGGACTAAAGGGATGGGCTATAGAGCTACGGTATCTTGAGTACAGTAGCAGGTAAAAAAAAGTCTGTACAATCTGAAGTGGATGATCCAGGGCACAATAGCCAGGGAAAGCAGTTTGGTAGGACATTCCTTTCCCTTGCCCTTCCTTTCATTTGAAATTAAGAGTTTTGGAACCCACTGAGTCAAGCAGAAAAGCCATGAGTTTTGAAGTATTTTGAATCCAAGAGTTAGTTCTGAGTGGCAGAAGAAAATGGAATTCTCAGCAAAAAATATCAGTTCCCAGTTATTCCAATCTTTCTTCATCTCAGCTGTATGCTGTAAGATGGAAACAGGAGAATATAATTGCAGTTATTAAACAGAGCTTGGAAAATCTTATCAGCTGAGGGCAAATCATCCAGAGATTAACAATAGATTTCTTGTCCTCCTCTTTGTAATAGGTAGGTTCTTTTTGCTATTATATATTTACAAACCTAGAAAAAATACAGTAACTAAAAAGTAAATCACTTTACTATACTCAGCAAATCTTACTCCCTACCCCATTAAACTAAGAAGCTGAGTTCTTCAATATGAATCTATTATTGTTCCTTTAGTTTCATTTGGAACTTCCCCCCCCCAAAACTGCTGTATTTTTTCTTCTTTTGCATTCAGTTAATAAAGAAAAAATCAATACATAAATGTATTGCCTCATATTTTCCCAACAATAAATGAAATTGTCAACATTTCACTTTCAAAGAAGATTTTTCTGTTTGATTAATAAAAACTCCCACATCCTGATGCTGGTAACATTCAAGTTCTTGGCAGCAGTACAAAATTGATCAACCACTACCTTTTTCAAGGATGATTGTCCAGTTTCCCAATATATCCTGGTAGTTTTCAATCCAAGTTCTAATAAGGTTTGACCCTGCTCAGTTTTTTTTTTGAGGGGGGGGGATAAGGGGAAAAGATCAGGGCTGGAAGCTGTCATCTGTTAAGTCCCTTCATTCTAGTTAAAATATTTTGTTTCTTTGTAAAATTTATTGGCCACCCATCTTACACCAGATAACTCTGAGCAGCTTACAAATGCAATTTATTCTTTTATTAATTTTAAAATAGTGACAAGAAACGCCTGACAGTTCATATGCAATCTCCTGTTGCAATCCCAGCATTATCGCACACAAGCTCTTGGTATCACTGCCCCTTCCCCCCTCCCCAATAGTGTTCCTCAGCTAATGTAGGGTTTCGTCTGTGAATATTTTTTGTGCATTTTCTCACAAAACCTTTTCTCTTTTATCTGTCTAGAGCATGTCAGCTCTTCTGAGGAGCCTTCTGGCTGCCTCAGAGAAAGCTGCCCGCATTGCCCAGCTATGTCGCCAAGAGGAGGCCCTCTTCAGCCTGCTCATTGAGGAGAAGAGAGGTGCGGACAAGAATAAGAAGTTCTTGCAGGACTTCAAGACATTGGCAGATGTGCTAATCCAAGAAGTCATCAAACATGATGTGGGAAAAGAGGTAGCTGCTTGGGAAAGGGTTCTCTATGTAGTGAGAAGCATAATAAGGTGTTGTGTAGAAGATTGGGCCGGATCGTAGAGGATTTAAGCTCTTTTCCTCTCCAATGTCACTCAAAGGGGCTTTTCTATTTACTCTAAATTCTTATATTCTAAAGTGTTTTATTCTAAAGACAAATAGCAGCAGAAAGCAATAGCTAAACCTATTGCATTTGCAAAAGTAGGAGCAATATTGAGTGCAATAGCTGTTCTCATGTTCTCCCAAATTCTTCACACATCATTTCTCAATCCTCAAATCACCATGTAAAGTTGGCCTGCATTATTCTTACATCAGAGTGGAGGCAGTAAAGCAGACATGTCAAACTCGTGACGTCATGTGACGTCGCGTGATGTATTGGAGCTTTTTCCCCATTGCTGGCAATGTGGGTGCGGTTTTGTCGTGACGCATCCGGCCTGTGGGCCGGCAGTTTGACACCCCTGCAGTAAAGGCTTAGATATGCTGATTTGCTTAAGAGAACATTACATTCTTGGTTGAGCTAAAATGGTTATAGTTGAGATTATTAGTCCTCACTCACTTTGAAGTGAGATGCCAGGAGTAGAACTCCAAATTGCCTGGGACTGATGTGACATGTAGCTGTCTCCTTCTCATCCAGAGGATCAACCTGAAATGGGACACAGTAGAATCATTGAGCCCAGAATAGCCGTAGCCTGGATCAGATTTGTCAGCTTGGTTAAGGTGTGCTTTCCTCATCCTCCCTTCAGTTCCACTTTTCTTTCCTTACCCCTTCTCATTGTTGTTCACAGTTTCCAGAACTACAAGATCACATTTGTGGCGAGGAGTCCAACAAATTTGAAAATGGCCTTGGTGAGTAATCAGCACAGGGAGTAGAAAATACCAGCATATTCTCTAAAATAACTTTCCCCAACTGGACTCCTTCCATATGTGTGGGATTAAAATTTCCTTCTGGCACACTGGCTAAGAATTTTGTAAGTTTTTGCCCCATTACCTCTAGTGGAAGCTACATAGGGCCAGGTTACCCTTCTGACATGCTTGATCCTCTTTTCGATTAATCAAGTCATCCTTCCACTTCCAGCTCCATTTTCATCAGAGAAATATTTCCATCATCTGTCCTAGGCTTACTCTGATGGCTTCTTGCAAGCTTTGTCCCTACAAAGATGTCTGCTCTTTATAAGAATCCTAGAAAATTGCAAGAGAGACTTGGAGAAAATATTTTAGGAGACTTTTCATTTCAGGAAGAGTACTTACTAGACATATTGGAGTATCATATGAAGGAGGAACATGCCCTAAAATGTTAGCTGTCACATTAAATATACAATCAAATGCCTGGTGCCAGGAATTTTTTTTCCCTTCTAATGCATAGCCATTTCCTTATTTTCCTTTCTAAGACAGTCTTCTTCATGTTAATGACCTTCAGATGGATTAAACTGCTATAACTTCCATTACTCACTCACAGAGAATATGTCTAAGGCCTGTATTGGTGGGATAATGGTTAGTGGTAAAGTAATATTTTTACAGTGTGCCAAGTGGCAGATTGCCCTATAAGGGCAAAAAAGGGCAAGACTCCTGTAGGTTTTTACATTGCTTTGGAATAGAGGAAATTATCAATAGTATTTGTTACTACCAAAAAATACTGCACCTTCCTTTTTTTAAGTGTTTGTCAGAAGAGCAGAAATCCTGCATGCTGTTACATCTGATTATCTCATTTCTCTTTTTTTAAGTCACATCTTAAAAAAACTAAAGATAAATATTATTGATGTAAACCATCCTGGGTGTCGGGTGCGAAAAATCAAGACCACGTGTTCAGTTCCAGTTAAGCTGATTTATTGCTTGTGCCTATATACAAAAATCTTGTAGTGAACTAACCATCAGCACTAAATTGATGCTAGATAAGAATTCAAGAGGGGTTGGACTTAGGCTGCTTGATTCCTCTCTTGACTCCACTCCCAGGTTCTGGCTGTCTTTCTCCTAAATCGGGCTACACTACTGTTTAACCCAGTTGTAAACTGAGATTGACTAGCTAAAAGTATATATCCTACATCTCGCCCAATCTTTCTTCGTGTGGGCTGTAGTAGCACAGATTGTGGTGAAAAAGAATAAGCCATATCTCAAGGAAGCTTCTCCATCATTATGGGCATTCTTAGAGAGCCTCTGATAAGCTTCTAATGAAGCTTTAAGAGTTCCTCTCAGAACAGTCTAAGAAGTGTGGCATTAAAATAATTCTCATTGCTTGCCTAACATACAAGACTCGTTGAGAATAAATGTGAAAGATCCCCTTGATCAGTAGAGGGACCCTCTTGAACAGTCTCTGATCTTTATTTGCCTTTGCAGGTGAGATTGTAGTGGTGCGGGTTTGCCCTACCCAACAGGAAACGGCTACCCTGTTGCAGAAAGTCCTGGATCGGAAACAAACAGCCGCTGAATTGTTGGCAGCTGCTGTTCATCAGGAAGTGGTGCTTTCCGACCCAGCGTTGGACAATGTGGCTGTGACCATCTCGACTGACAGCTTGGCTGTATGGATTGACCCCATAGGTAAACAGAACGGCAGATGAAGGTTGGGCATCGGAAGCCATTTTCTCTAGTGCTACGTTTTGTATACAGATAGTCCTCGACTTATGACCACAATTGAGCCCAACGTTTTTGTTGCTAAGTGAGACAGTTGTTCAATGTATTTTGCCCCATTTTACAACCTTTCTTGCCACAATTGTTAAGTGAATCACTGCAGTTGTTCAGTCAGCAACATAGCTTCACTGCTAAATGAATCTGGTTTCCCCACTGACTTTGCTTGTCTGAAGGTTGCAAAATGTGATCACATGATCCAGGGACATTGCAACCATCATAAATAAGAGTCAGTTGCCAAGCGTCCAAATTTTGATCACTTGACCATGGGGATGCTGCAACAATCATAAGTGTGGACAACAGTCATAAGTCGCTTTTTCAGTGATGTTATAATTTTGAAGGGTCACTAAATGAACTGTTGTAAGTTGAGAGCTACCCGTATGTGGCATAGACTGGAATATATAAAAGAGAGTTGAGGACTCTCACATCCAGTCTTGTTCCTAACCAATTGTGATATTCTATCTTTCCAGGTGTCATTTCCTAGCCTGTATCCAATATACCTTGATCAGGCATAGAGTTGATACTATTTTTAAAGTCTATTCTAGTGGGCATTCTGACATCTATTGTTCCGATGTGAAGTCTTGCTGAAGGAGTGAAGAAATTCTCCCTTTCTTACTTTTCTCTTTTCAGATTCCACTAATCAGTACATTCGTGGGTATGGCAGTGTGATGCCAGTGAATGGCATCTATCCATCTGGACTTCACTCAGCGCTTGTGCTGATAGGAGTATACAACCGTCACTCGGGTGAGCCCGTCCTTGGCATCATCAATGAGCCTTTTTTCCAGGAGGAGCTGCCAGCACACAGGTAACAATAGCACTGTGGCTCAGTCTTGCCTAGGTGGACCATGTTGGCTCTCCCGCCAATTTTAAAGGACTTAGCCCTGGAATTCTCCTGTTCTTTTTATAGTACTGTCAAGCCCTCCAGGCTCGACATACATGGGGGGGGGGGAAGGATAGGATGGCACGCAGGGATGGAGATGAAAGATGACGCAGACTGAAGAGGGCCTAGGGCAGAGATGGGCAACTATGGCTCCTTTACGACCTGTGGACTTCAACTCCCAGAATTCCTGAGCTAGCCCAGAAATTCTGGGAGTTGAAGTCCACAGGTCATAAAGGAGCCATAGTTGCCCATCTCTGCCCTAGGAATTCTGGGAGCTGAAGTCCACTAGTCATAGTTGCCCATCCCCGGCCTAGAAAATGGCTTTGAAGGACAGAGGAATAGCCGTTATCAAGGTAATGATCAGACAAGTGCAGCTTGAGCCCATTTTGAGAAACTAATGCTTCACATAAGTCTCTATGGAGATTCTCAGTCATCCAGGTCATAGATATCCCAAAGATGCTTTTTCACGAGGCAGCTGGACTTTCTTGTTTTTCTTTGAAGACATTTCACTTCTCATCCAAGAAGCTGAAGAAAGTTCTTGGATGAGAAATGAAACGTCTTCAAAAAAAACAAGAAAGTCCAGTTGCTTCGTGAAAAAGCATCTTTGGGCCTTCACATAAGTCCCTCCTTAGTTCATACAGATAAAAGGCGGGGGGGGGGGGGAGCACATTCAGACTTGCAAAACTTGCTTGCTATATCTGTAACAATAAGAGTTGTCCTATCTGGCATTGGTTTCTTAGTCTGATCTACCTTATACAGCTGACACAGACTTAGTACAAGGTTACATGGTCGTTCTGGAACTGTTTCTTTTCCCTTATACTGCCCTTGAGTTGCTTGATGATCTAGCACAGGGGGTAGGCAACCTTGGCTCTTTTATGACTGGTGGACTTCAACTCCCAGAATTCCTGAGCCAGCCATGTTGAGGGGACAGGGCGAGGTTTCCATGCTGAACTATGTTGGCTCAGGAATTCTGGGAGTTAAAGTCCACGAGTCATAAAAGAGCCAAGATTGCCTACTCCTGATCTAGTACATGCCTGCCAAGGGAAACCATCCAGTCATAGACTTTAGAGGGGAAAATTACCACAGGCTCCATTTATAGAAACGGGCTTATCCAGAGAACAATCCCTGTTTGAAATGATCAAACGAATCAATATTTTTCATTCAAAAGACACAAATGAATCAAAATGTAATCCTAAGAGGTATAACAGTATTTTATATTGCTCACAACATATGCTCTTGTTTACTATGGCTTCAATGGGCATAAAACAATGGATACAAGACTTATATTGGTGTAAGATGCGGTGGGGGGAAAAAAAGAAAGGGGAGCTCAAATGAACATTCTTCCTTGGGCTTTTCAGAGCTTTTAAAATATGTGCCTTTTGCTACACCTAAGGAATGGCCCACACATTGCCATAGGTTTAGCACAGCTGTCACAAAAATCAGTTACTGTATAAAAACGCTCTAGCAAGTGGTTCCTGTAACGTTTCCTTTTCTTTGCCTCCGAAAAGATTTGTCCCTCTTCCTGTCCCAACTCCCCTTTTCCAACTAAGCAAAAGCACTGCTTCTTCCAATCCTTGCATTCTTCCCCTTGTGCAATATTGAACAGCCACCTCAATCACCAATTCCCTCAAGGGTTTTTCTCAGTATAATTATTATTATGGTGGGTTGCACAGTCCGCCAGATATTAAGACTGGATTTGGCATTTTTATCCACCTGTCGAGCCCTTCCAAGGACCTGGAGTAGGCAGATGTTGTTGGATGGTGTCAAAGGTGCCATTGCAGGATTTGAGCTGTTCCAAGTAAAGCTGCTTTCTGCAATTGACTGATTTTGTCGATGCTGATAGTTGTTCAAGTTGGTGCTTCAGAGGCCTTTGGATGGCACTCAAGGCGCCTATTATTACTCTTACTATTTTTGCTGTCTTTATATTATTCTCCCTTTTTGACATATAACTCAAGGTGGCAAACATATCTAATTTTCTGGCCTCCTACTTTCCCCACAACAGCAAGCCTGTGAGGTAGGTTGGGCTGAGAATGAGTAACTGGTGTGTAACCTCTATCTTCTTAATGTTATGTAATGGTGGGGCTTTTCCTAGCACAGCTACTCTGAACCTTTCTCTTTGGCAGGTGGCAGAGCAAATACCACTGGGGCATTTCCTACGGAAGCACCAAGCTAAGCTCGCTGAGCCAACCCCAGCGGCAGCCTTCCCCCTGCGTGGTGCTGAGCAGCAACGAGACAACCGTGTTGCGGAAAGCACTGGCCCCACTATACGGTGAGAAGCTGTGCTTTGCTTCAGGTGCCGGCTACAAGATGCTCTGTGTCGCCCTCGGCCTTGCCGATGCTTATGTACTTTCGGAAGGCAGCACCTTCAAGTGGGACTCCTGTGGCCCCCATGCCATTCTGCGAGCCCTCGGGGGAGGCATCGTTGATCTTTCAGCAGCCCTGCAGGTTTGGCGTGGTGGGCAACACAAGAATTTGCCCGAACTGACCTATAACAAGCCCACAGAGGGCGCTGTGGGTGCTGAGCGCTGGGCAAATCAAGGAGGGCTTATAGCCTATGTCTGCCACAAGCATCTCGAGGCTGTGATGGTCACACTAGCAAATGCGGCAGACGCTTTCTAAAACACAGCCCCATCAGTGCAAATTAGTGGGAGCATTTGCCTGTGTATGAGGAGGAGGAGAAGGCAATCTCCAAATGAGAAAGGATAAGATTCTTAATTTTTTTAAATGGACCAATTTGATGTTTATGGTGGCAGTATGCCAACCTAGGATAGGAATGGTACAAATGCCATGCTTTTGACCACCTGCTTTTCATGCCAGCTGCATCAGTAAAATCTCCACTTTTCATGCAGGCAGGCAGTAGGGGAAATATTTTTTAGACTGTTTTCCTTCTGTTCTTCTTGGGGTATCATTTTTCTTGCAGGGGTAATATGTATCATACATAGCAAACATGCATTGGGGCCATTAAATAATCTCTGCTTAGGTACCCCTGGTGTTAAGCGTGGGACACTGCTGCTTTCTGGATAGGCACAATTTTTGCAAGGCTTTTGATGCACAGACCAGAAGTCCTGGTGGCACAGTGGTTAAAGTGCAATATTGCAGCCAAACTCTTCCCATAGCTGGAGTTCGATCCTGACGGGGCTCAAGGCTGACTCAGCCTTCCATCCTTCCAACATTAGTAAAATGAGGATTCAGATTGTTGGGGTCAATATGCAAATAAGGCTTCTACATTATAAACCGCCCAGAGAGTGCTATAAAGCACTATGGGGCAGTATATAAGCCGAAATGCTATTGCTTGAGCTGTAAGGACTCTAGGATTTATGATCCTGCTTCACGTTAAGAAGCAGGGTTAATTTGCCTTTGGATCCCTTTTAACATTGTAAGAGGTTGCTGCAGAACTTTATTTAACCTAAAGTCATTTTCCCTTAGAGCAGGGGTCCCCAACCTGTGGGCTATGGCCCACTACTGGGCCGCGGCCGCTTGGCCACCAGGCCGCATGAAGGGATGGCCAGTGCACGCGCACACATGCATGCACTCACCCCTCCACACTTGCGCTGGCGCCGTTCTGAGCATCCCACCGGCACTAGCACCGTCCCGCCCGCAAGCATCCCACCGGCGTTAGCACCGTTCCTCCCCCAACCGTTCCACTGGCACTAGTGCCGCCCATAGCATTCCGCCAGCGCTAGTGCCGCCCCATTTGCAGCACTTGCACCTGCACAGTCCCATTTGCATGTGTGCAGGCGCTCGAGTGCAGCCGTTTGCATCTGTATAGGCGTTCATGCACAGCCATTTGCATGTGCACATGCGCTCATGCAATGCCCATTTGTGTGTGCGTGCACAGGGCTCATTTTTGCGCACACACGTAGCTATGCCTGCCTCCCTTTCCGGGCAGCCAAATCAAAAAGGTTGGAGATCTCTGCCTTAGCGGAAGCTCTGAGAATTTTAGTTCTCTGGAAGGGGACCTGAGATGGGATCTTTAATAGGGAGGCTCTGTGGGAAAAGTCATGGCATATGAAAATAAGTAAAATTGCTATACATGTGAACATGTACTGCAATTTGGGAATTTTTCTCCCAGGCCACTATCCTATGAATTTATAATCTATCTTTTGGAATCAAGCGTGATGGAAATTCTTTCTAATTAATCAAAGCAGTTATCTGAGGGTCTCGTACTGTATATATTTGTGAAATATATTTTTAAACAAACACTCTTTAAAAATAAAATATATTCTGCAAGTGACAAAAGAAACATTAAATATTCATTCAGAGAGGAAGGGAAGGATGCAGGACAGTATTCAGCCAAACATTTCTTTTTTGCCATCCATATTTCCTTGGCATCTAACTAACTCTTATAAACAAAAACCATCAACTGTTAAATTCAGGTATTGGGACTACATTCGTTAAATGAAAGCTAAATCAAATTACAGATTTAATGTAGGTAATGATTTAAAATTAGAAATGGACTATGAATCATCCTTGCAATGTACTGATTTTGTAAAGTATGTTTTTATTTTTTATAAAGAACTTGCAGTGGGTTTTTTAATAGTAGAATATATCTAAAATTGAAATTGTAAAGATCATTCTCAGAATTTTTTTGCCATATATTTTATCTGGTATATTTGTTTCTATACATTTTATCTGGTATATTAAATAGCATAATATTATAATAATCAATATTTAAAAATATTAAGTACTAGCTTATCTTCTATTATTCTACTATGGTAATTAATTTAAAATTGGTTATTTAAGGATAGCCATTCTTATAAAGGCATTGGCAAAATACTCCATTAGCTGAGCTGCTTTTTTTAATATTAATAATTAATAAACATTATATAACCACAGGAGAAAGAATCTAGTTGTGCTAGATGTTCTCCACAGCTACATCTGCCCTCATCAATGCACCTTTATGACTAGGCTCAAGAATGGCATCTGTTTCACACAGGCCATGATTTAACCACAGTTAACTGAGTTTACACAATATAAGACTCCATTAATACATTTTTAAATCCAGAATAGCTGAGTTCGCACAATACATTAAGTCACTGTCAAAGGTAAAATAGGGCAGCTAAATATATGCAGTCCCATTATCAAAGCAATCCAAGGAGGTAAAAGACAAAAGACTCCTGAAAGACATGATCGTTCGTAAGCAATCGTGATCATAATGCTGAGAATTGGATTTTCACTCACACAGAGATTGGATACATGAAATAAGATTTTTATAAACTCTCAATTGCCAGTACTCTCCATACCGTAAGTAGGGAAAGTTACATATGGCACAAATATGCCTAAGACTGGTAACCTAATTTACACATTGTTGGCTGAAAAACATTATGAGATTGATCAAAGCCATGATGGGTGGTAGAGGTCAGGGTTGGCCCATCTGGTTGATAACCAAGCCATATAGAAGATTTGTAAGAAGAAAATATTATAAATGAAATGTAATAAATGAAATAAAATAGATATGCATCTGAAAAACTGAAAGGGGAAGGATGTAACAGACCTGCATGAAGAAGCCTGATTTCGTGGAATGCAGTTGAGGACATACAGGGACGTGAAAGTTTAGATTTAAATATAAATGACATTTGGGTCAGAAAATATGAACTGGTGCTACTGTGAGTGCGTATGAAAGTAGAAATGCATAGGTTGGCAACTGGTGTTAACTACATCTTATGTTTCAGCAAATGGGATAATGAAAGAACTGGAAGTTGTTTGAGAGAGAACGGTCCAACATTCGGCATGAATGTGATCCCAAGGAAAATTTATTCTGCTAGGTGATGTGAATGGATGAATGGAACAAGATGACAGAGCTCAGAAAAAGTAATTCTGCCATTTGGAGGCCCAGGAGTAAGTGAGAACAGTGACTCATTGGGGAGTATCTGCTTAATGAAAGGTCTGTTTTGACTAAGTCCATTCATCCAAAGGAATGAATCAAAAAGCAGAATTAGTGCAGGATAATGAGATATTCTGAATGTGAGAGCAGTCCTTTATTTGGTGCTGTCAAGAATGGATCTTGAAAGAATAATATAAGAAAAAAAATATAACCCATGTACGAAATGTATTAGATTACCCTCCCAACACAATAAACAGAAAGACAAAAGAGGTTGTGAAAACTGCTGACATTCTGTTATCAGAAAATATAGAAAGGAAATGTTCAGTAGAGTGATGAAGTAAAAGAGGCTGTGGATGTGAAAAAAAATGCATCAATTGTAATAGAATAACTGTTGCAAAAAGGAGAATGAAAGAAAGATATCGGACACTATGTATAGGGCTAGAAAGATAGTTGCAAAGATGTAGTCAACAAAAAGAATGATTAAGATCTCAAGAAGATCAGATAGAGGTAGTTTGATGTAAACATAAAGAGCACTAAACAAGAAGCCTTGAGCAGAGGAAAGGGAATTAAAAACAAAGGGGATGGAACGGTTTAGGATGCAAGTGAAATTAGAGAATGCTGGAATGACATGAAAAAGAAATTAAATGCAAAACTTGTTTGTGTCTCAGAAAGAACTGACGTAGAATATTGGGGAGGCTGCAGGTATAAGAAGCAGTTCTCAGAAATGAAGGAGAAATCTCACATCCCGACTCAATATTATTTAAACAAGAGACAGATAGAAATTGGGCCTCCTACTGAAAAGGAGGTGCAGTATATCAGTTGCTTGAAGGTAGTGGAGGACAATCAGTGAGATAGATCAGTGACTATGTAAATATTGGGGCTGGTTTGGAAAAAAACAGCAATTGCTAAAATTCTTTTGTAATGACATTACTGTGTCTTGTACAATAAACTAATTTAACTGCAGTTCATGAGTCCTGTTATCCTTATGTATTTGATTCCTGAGTGCCTGTCAGGTGAAGCCTGACAGAAGAGCAAAAAGCATGCAACTGAAGAAATGTTAAAGTTTGTTAACGTTCACATAACACTTCTGCAAAAGTTACTTGTGGAAAGGCTGTACGACTGGGTATAAAGCTTGCATCCATGCCTCAGGACTGGAAAATAATATAGTTATTGTTTTCCTCCAAAAAGGAAAGCTAAAATGAGTGAAAGCAAAAACTACAGATGGGTTAGTTTACCATGGAAAGCATTTGGTAGAATTCTAATGGAGTGAGTAGCAGAGGCTACAATGAGCAAAATTTACAAAGTGCAATGGAGCTTTATGCTACATTAGTTTTGCTTTTCAACAGACTATTGAGAAATAAGTGAAGAATAGTATTTTGCCTGAATATAGGCAAATGCAATGACAGAATGGGCACGAGGATGTCATTACTCAAATAACAAGACTTAACTTCTTGGTTTTAGATGACAGATTGTTAAGTATTTAATGGTATTTGCATGTCGGCATACACCACATACATATAATTGTTTTGATATCATAATTATTTCCTGCAGATGAAACTGAGTTGAAGGTTGGTTTGCTAAATACAAAATAAAGCAGACACAAGGATAAGGGACGTATGATGTCCTCTTGGGGTTTTAATGTATTTATGTATAAAAGTACAATGCTGAGCTATAAAGCGGTCAAGGATCGGAGATGGCTGAATGGCTGACAACATACAATATATCAGGGGTGTCAAACTGTCGGCCTGCGGGCCAGTTTCATCATACCGAAGCCACGCCTACCCCATTGCCGGCAATGTAAAGAGTCGCAATACGTCACAACACGTCACATGATGTGGCAAGTTTGACA